CCTCTCTCCATCCTCTTTGGAACCTTCCTTCAGGAAGTTGAAGGCTGCTGTCAAATCCCCCCTCACTCTTCTCTTCTGCAGACTAAATAAGCTCAAATCCCTCAGCCTCTCCTTGTAGGTCATGTGCTCCAGCCCCCTAATCATTTTGGTTGCCCTCTGCTGGACCCTCTCCAATGCATCCACATGCTTTCTATAATGGGGGGCCCAGAACTGGACACAATATTCCAGATGTGGCCTCACCAGAGCCGAATAAAGGGGAATAGTCACTTCTCTAGATCTGCTGGCAATGCTCCTCTTAATGCACCCTAATATGCCATTAGCCTTCTTGGCTACAAGGGCACACTGTTGACTCATATCCAGCTTCTCATCCACTGTAATCCCCAGGTCTTTTTCTGCTGAACTACTACTTAGCCAGTTGGTCCCCCGCCTGTAACAATGCTTGGGATTCTTCCGTCCCAAATGCAGGACTTTGGACTTGTCTTTGGTGAACCTCATCAGATTTCTCCAATTTGTTGAGGTCACTCTGGACCCTATCCCTGCCCTCCAGCATATCTACCTCTCCCCCTAGTTTAGTGTCATCTGTGAACTTGCTGAGGGTGCAATCCATCCCCTTATCCAGGTCATTAATAAAGATGTTGAACAAAACCAGCCCTAGAACCAATCCTCGGGGCACCCCGCTTGAAACCGACCACCAACCATTCGAAACAATAGACTAACGTACAGCCCCAGGGAGCACAGCCAGTGAGCGGCAGGAAGGAGAAATGTGTGTGCAGGAGAAGATAGTTGAGTGGCAGGGATCAGGGAGCTCTCCTGCTTGGTGGCTGAATGGTCCAAGCACAAGACAGGAAGCGCCAATCTCCCGAATTTCTATCCTGGAGTATGTCTAGACTACATCCCTCTGTCGCCAGAGGGATGTAAATTAGACATACCGAAATTGCTAATGAAGTGAGGATTTCAATAACTGCACTTCATTAGAATAAAAACGGCTGCCGCTTTTTGCCAACGTGGCAATTTGCTGGCAAAAGTGGTAGTCTAGACGGGGATCGGTCCGCAAGGGAAGCCTTTTCCGACTGATCCCTTATGCTTCGTGCAATAAGGTTTACAGGATCGGTTGGAAAAGGCTTTCCATGCCAACTGATCCCCGTCTAGACTGCCGCTTTTTGCCAGCAAATTGCCATGTCAGCAAAAAGTGGCGGCCATTTTTATTCTAATGAAGTGCGGGATATTTAAATCCCCGCTTCATTAGCAATTTTGGTATGTCTAATTTACATCCCTCTGGAGACAGAGGGATGTAGTCTAGATGTATCCCTAAGTACTAAACTTATTCACCCTTCTCTCTTCTTGGATATTCAGAAAATGATTTCACCTCCCTGGATCTCAGGTAACCTAAGTATAAAATAGGGTGAATGGTATTTACCTCCTTCACTCCTTTCTATGTGAGGATAAAATAGCTAATCTTTGTCAAGCTATTAAATATGAAAAGCACAATCTAAGCACTCACATATTATTAATGCCCCAGAAAATGTTCCATGCCTAATGGCTTTGCCATATTTAATCAGCATTGCCAACCCAAAATATTTAAAAAACCCGGGTCACGGACCTACGCATCAGGAGACATACTTAAAATCAGAGCATTTAAAAAAGAAGAACGCGTTTGGAGGTTGTTTTGTTTTTCTTCTGATTTCTGAGCCTTGAGAATGTGGTTGGGTCCCGTTTCCAAGCTTTTCTTGAAACCAGCAGGCCCAGAAACATCCTTTGTTTCAAAATAAGAGCTGAGATTTTAGCTCAGTCACATGACCTTAGACACGAGGCTCTCCAGCAAAGCACAAATGTGGAGAGCAGAGCGCAACCAAAAAATCCGAATTTCTGCCCCACTGAAAAGTTGATGTAACCCCCAAGGAGATTACCTAGATTCCTGGGGCTCTGTCTGCTGGCAGCTCAGGGAGGGGGAACGAAGGCAAACTCAGAGTCTGCCCGGTAACAAATAGGGAGGGAATTCAGGAAAGGGGAGAAGCCCTTGTTTTTGTGAGTCAGTCTGGAGCCAGCCAGGGTAAGGGAGCTGGTAAGCCCCAGGCCTACATGCAGGGTCCCCCCTGAGAACTGACCTCTAGGGACCTGAAAGCAAGATCCCTCAGCTGGGTTTTCCTTCTCCACTGATGATTCCCAGTTTGTAGAGTTTGCTGGGAAACTTCCCCAGCCAGGCTGAGTTAGCCCCCCAGCTTCCTAGGTGAGACCCGTCACCACATGGTCAGCTCTGCTCTGTCTGCTAGTTGAGGGCTGCTGTGTAGTTGTGTGTGTGTCTGGATGTTGGGCTAGGACACCACAGTTTGGATTTTAGTACAGTACCTTCGTGGTGAGGGGAAATCCTGGGACCGAAGCAGCCTGATTCCTGCCTGAATAGGATCCCTGCTAGCAGAGATCACCCCCTCTGCAGTGACTGAGGAGTCCAGAGTCATCTCTGAGCCGGAGGATCATTCATGGATTTTGTGAGTGCACCATCTTTTAGTTAATCAGTCTGGGAATTTGTTTTGGGAACTGTGTCCTCAAGCCAGGGAGTAAGGGTTTGGGGATTTTATAACCTGCTGCATATTAAACCTGTGGAAGGATTTACCACTTCTCCCGCTTGTGAGTCCTTTGGGCTGTACTGAACCCAGTCAGCCACACTGCTAAACCACTGCGGAGAAGAATGTTGTGGTCATAGGTCATCAAGGGCCCCAACAAAGTATGCGTACCAACGGAACACTAATCTTACATTTGCTACATCAAGTCACGTCACTGGGGATAGTCATAGGTATTAGTAGCGTGGGCACCGGTGATCCTAAAAATAGTGTTTTACCCGGTTCTGTTATAATTGTTTCCTGTTTAATATAATTATTGTGTTGAATATATTGTATGTGTTTGTGTTATTTTTTGAAGTCTCAAACTATCTGGCAAGTAAGTGGGGATTACCCTGTGGTTAGAATTTTCTTCCCAAAATCCCCTGGTGATCCTGCCAGGAAGGAGTGAGGGGGGTGGAGGCACTGCCAAATAAATTCATAGGAAAAAATAAAGATACACCCTGCTGAGAGGGTGGAAGGATCCAGAAGAACCCAGACCTGTCCACCGAAACTTGTAGGCAGATTGGCATTAAAGAAGGTAATCGGGTGGAGAGGGGCGCTACAGTGATATGTCTGAGTTGGTTTGTGTCCCAAATCTACTCACAGACAACGTGCAGGAAGAGTACTGCAGTGTCGGAACCAAGGCTGTTTTCTGCGTAGGCCGTCACCTGAAAGATCCCAGCGTTCTTATAAACGTGCCTGATGCCATCCTCAATGGGGCTGAAATTAGCGTAGGACATGGCAATGCCATCTCCGAAATCCAGCTGGATGTTCGTCCTCTGGAGATCGCCCTGCAGTGGAGAACACTGTGGTTAGGAACCCAGCTGAGAAGGCTGATAGATGGGACACTCCACCTGCTGCTCAGTTTCATTGGGTTAGCGCGAAGACAAGCCCTGTAACACCCCCTGACATGGCCAGAGCCCGCTCCGGCTCCTCTTGGGTCTAGTTGGCAATGCCCAGAACCTGAACATTAATAGGTGTGATTAGCTGTTGTCCTCCCGCCCCAGTCCAGTGTCTAGTTGGCAATGCCCAGAACCTGAACATTAATAGGTGTCAGTAGCTGTTGTCCTCCAGCCCCAGTCCAGCGGTTCAAAGAGGCAGACCACCACTGCAGTGATGTATAAGGGGCACCCAAAATGTGGCGACGTTGGGGGCAGCAGAGATGGGAAAAGTTGCATTTCTGGCTGGTTACAGCTCTGCTGCAAGATTAGGCCAGGGATGGCAAAATAGGGAACGGGGCCGGATCTGGTCCATCAAACAACTGGATCTGGCCCGCAGCCACCCTGCCAATTCCCTGCCCACAATTGAGACCTGGGGACAGGGGAGTGCGTAAAGTCTCCAACCCCGCCTAAGGACACGCAGCACCTAGAGGGACCCACCATCTGTTCAAAACAGCTGGCAGCTTCCTGTGAGTTCCCCACATCCCTGGCAGGGCGAGGCATGAGGGCAGGAGACTTCACGTGTTCCCCCACCCTCAGGCCCTGATTGGCCTGGGGTGGGGAAGTGCGCAAAGTCTCCTCCGCCTTCTAGGGGCCCGTGGTGCCTAGAAGGAACCACCAGCTGCTCAAAACAGCTGGTGGCTCTCTCTAGGCACCACATGCCCCTGACAGGGAAAGGGCAGGGGGCAAAGACTTCATGTGCTCTTCCGTCCCCAGACCACTCAGGGTCTGGAGGTAGGGGAGCACGTGAAGTCTCCTCCCCCCGCCAGGGGTGGGCTGCACCTAGAGGGAACAGCCCCCTTCTACCTGAGGCCCCACCCTTTTGGAGGTAGCCAGCAACCACTTCCAAAATTCATGAAGTGCCCCCTCCTTCAAAAATTCTTGCCCACCCCTGAGCTAGGTGCACCCAGGGCTGTTCTTAGGATTTCTGGAGCCCCATGCAGTACTCTTAAACTGGTGCCCCTATGCCCCATGGCAGCCAGGAGTGGGGGGTGAGAATGACTTCTTAGAAGTGTGACTTTATCTTCAGCAACACACCAATGAAATATTTTTAAAACAAATGTGAAACTAAGGTCCTGTTGGCTAATAGTCAATTCAGAAACCGACACTTTGTACCTGGGATTGGTAAATGCATGTTCAGTGGCTTCCTTACCATTTGAAGGGCTCTTTCACAGGTTCAGGGTTTTGCTATTGGCTTGGGCAGGCTATTCACTAGAGCCTCTTGGGAAGAAAAGCCACAGAACAAGGATAAGAAGAATCGGGATGGGTGGACATTAAGACCCAACGGTACCCCAAATTTTCAGGTGCCCTACGTAGCTGCATATTCTGGGTGAGGACGGCCCTGAGCATGCCGTCCAGGTGCTGATGGGCAGCCATGCGCACAAGGGCTCAGCTTACAGGGAACACTGCTCCAAACCCAGGTCAATGCTTTTGCTGCATTGATGATAAGGAGATTTGGGCTCAAACCCAGGTAAGTGCCTGAGTCAACTGCAGTTAAGAGAGAAGCTGAGTGGTTCATTTTAAACTTGCTCCCAATTGGCTACATCAAAAGAAGCCTGCTTTAAACCAGAATAAATGCGCCCATGTGGCTTTTGTTGCTGATTTAATCAAGTCAGTTTAAAATCACCCTTATATTAAATTTGCATAGGTTTGCATGCTGATCAGCACTGACTGCCTCAGGTCCTGTCTTTAAGGTGATACACACTCAGTTTGGACTGGGCGTGTGGGCAAAAGAGAGAGAGTATTTGAGTGCATAATTAGATTCCCTGGGATGCTCCATCCCAGATATCAAAGGGTATGTCTACACTACCACCCTAGTTCGAACTAGGGTGGTTAATGTAGGCAACCGGAGTTGCAAATGAAGCCCGGGATTTGAATTTCCCAGGCTTCATTTGCATGTTGCAGGGCGCCGCCATTTTTAAATGTCTGCTAGTTCGGACTCCTTCCCCACGGCTACACGTGGCATGAACTAGGTAGTTCGGATTAGGCTTCCTATTCTGAACTACCTGTACTCCTCGTGGAACTCCTCGAGGTAGTGCAGACATACCCAAACAGACTCTACATTGACATCCATTCAGTGGGTATATTTACACTGAAGAGTGGACTATACTTACGTACAGAGGGGATTTTCCGATGGTGGTAAACCTCCTTGTTATACGAGGAAGAAGCCTTTTTCCGAAAAAGCTTTTTCAGAAAAAGGCATGTGTGGATGCAGAAGAAAGAGTTTTTTCAAAATAAGAGGCTTCCAGGACAAAGCACAGGTGTCCTGGTGGCCATTCTGTCCACAGTAATCACAACTGAAATGCAAGATAGCGTTCAATCAATGTGGGCACTATCTTTCGAAAAAGCAGGTCACTTTTTCATTGCGCTTTTGCTGTGTGGACACTCTCTTTCAAAAGAAGTTTTTCCAGAAGATCTCTTCAGAAAAGCATCTTCCGAAAGAAGCCTGCAGTCTAGACATAGCGGTTGTGTCTACACTGGCATGAATTTCCGGAAACGCTTAAAACGGATTACTATTCCGTTTTCAGTTTTTCCGGAAAAGGAGCGTCTACATTGGCAGGCTGCTTTTCCGGAAAAGCCCTTTTTCCGGAAAAGCGTCTGTGGCCAATGTAGACGCGCTTTTCCGGAAAAGACTACTGGGCTGTCTACACTGGCCCTTTTCCGGAACAGTGTTCCGGAATAAGGACTTATGCCCGAGCGGGAGCAGAATAGTTTTTCCGGAATAGCGGCTGATTTTGTACAGTAGAGCATCGTTGCTATTCCGGAAATTCAAGGGCCAGTGTAGACAGCTCGCAGCTTATTCCGGAAAAGCGGCTGATTTTCCGGAATAAGTGGCCCAGTGTAGACACAGCCAGCCAGAGAAAGGAGAGAGATTCTAGTCAAGATCAATCACTGCTCCTGAGTTTAATTTGCTCTCATGAGCTGTTGTGAACAGGCTCTTCCCACACAAATCAACAGCAAAAGTCCCATATGCTACAGCGTGTGGTGTCAGGATCAAAGCCGATGTTGTAGATCCACTACTTACTAGTCTAATTAGTGGAGGGAACTGCCATGCAACTCAGCGCCAGTTAATGCTTCTCCAGACGACCCCACCTCCCTAGGATTTCACTGGAGTAAACAGCCAGGTTTGCCTAAAAAGGCCAGGTGATTAAAAGCTTCATTTTGTATTTACTATACAAAATGGGCAGCTTTCCACAGGTCCTCTGTGGAGGAAGCAGAATCACAGGACAGGGACAGGAAGCAGTGGACATTAAGACCCAGAGGTGCCCCAAATTTTTGAGTGCCCTACACAGCTGCCCATTTTGCATATGGGTCTGGGTGTGCCTTCCAGATGTTGTCGGAGAAGAAGAGTGAGTATAAATAAGGGCAGAGGAGCAGATAGGGCATCCCAGAGCCTTAGGTCTTGTCCACTCGCAGAAGTTGCAACGGTTTCACTTAAATCAGTTTTTAAACCAGTTCAGGTACATTGTTGCAAAACCCTTGTCATCTGGTCGCAGAGGGTATGTGTTCACTGAGGTGATCTGTACTTGGGTCTGATCAGAAGCCTAACCCAGGTGTGAACATGGTCTGAGCAACACCCTACTCATGTTACCACGTCCTCTATCTCTATATTCACCCATGTGTGTGTCTGTGGAGGAGGGCATATCCCATGGTCCTTTGAGCTGGGATGCTCTAGGATTCTCTCCCAGTCGCCACATTTGGTGAGGGGGGGAGGAGAAAGCACTGGTTCCATTCCTGCAGTCCTCCGGGTATGTCTACACTGCAGAGTTTTTCCGGAAGAACAAGGCTTATGTCCACACTGCTATTGGGTTCTTTCGACAGAAAGTTGAATGAAAGGAGGGTTTTTTCCAACAGCGGTAAACCTCTTTCTACAAAGAAGAAGCCTTTTTCGGAAAAAGGCATGCGTGCACGCGGAAGAGAGTGTTTTTTCGAAAGAAGAGGCCTCCAGGAAAAAGCACAGGTGCCCTGGTGGCCACTCCGTCCACCGTAACCACCACTGAAATGTGAGATAGCGTCCAATCAATGTGGATGGTATCTTTCGAAAAATCACATCGCTTTTTTGTTGTGCTTTTGCTGTGTAGACGCTCTCTTTTGACAAAAGTTTTTCCAGAAGCTCTCTTCTGGAAAAGCTTCTTCTGAAAGAAGCCTGCAGTCTAGACGTAGCCTCTGGGTGCATGGAGGGCAGAGAGGAGCACTGGCTGGAAGTGGTGGATGGCCCTTTGGAGCCCATAACCGCCAGGAGCAAGTGAGAGCAGCTTTCAGAATGCTCTAACCTGAGTCAGCGGCAGAGAATCAGAGAGCCATCTGTAGTCCTCTTCTGACAGGGAAGGTTTGCTCACATGGTTGTCACCAATTCCATCTGATTCACTACACAGCTCTATGGAGGGAGCAGCCCGTCTACCCTTTTGGCCAGAAGCAAAGCCAACCCAAATGTACAAGCAACCACCAATGCCATTGTAAAGCAAACACAAGAGCATTTCGAGAGGTAGACAAAGCCAATGGTACAGCAGCACGGCTACTCAGGCTCTGGGATAAATCTTTCCCTGAATGACTAGCGGAGCAGGTATGGAAACCCCTCTCCTGCAGCAGAGGAGAGAGTGACTGTGTGAGCTTCTTCCCTGCCAATCTACCTCCACCTTCAGCCGCATGGATTGCATCATTTAACTGCCAGGTCCATTCCAACCCTTGCCTCTCTGCCAGGACCACCATGCTGTGCATGCATGGAGCTTTTGTGAGGACGACACCTGGTGAAACCCTGGCCTCATGGAAATCGAGGAGAGTTTTGTCATTGATTTCAATGGCCAGCACATTTCCCCTTTGTTCTCTCGAAATAGGGAAAAGTCCAATGGAATTAGACAGGGAGGAAGCCAACAGGTGTCTGTAGAAATGTAACTGAGTGCTATAAACCCTATTGTATTTACAGTAGACTTCTGATAATCCGGAACCTTTGGGACCTAGGTGGTGCCAGATTATCGGATATGCCGGACTATCAGGCGGTACTATAAGAAGGTTATATATATACTGTATACATTATATACTGTATATAAAGTGTTCTTAACCCTTTTTATTGTACATACTGTATACAGTATACTGTGATGTTTTAGTTTTTTAACCCTTTTTTACCCTCTTTGCTCGGTTCAGCTGCTGCCGCTGTTACCTTGTGACTCGTTTTTTGCCGAAGCTCACTTACTAGGCTCTTGCCATCTTGATGTCGGACTATCAGGAGTGCCGGACTATTGGATGCCGGACTATTGGAGTTTTACTGTAGTAGAGGGTGATATCCTTTTGAAAACGACGCTTTTTAATCATTGTATACAATTCTTCAGCAGGGACAGAATACTTCTATTGTACTCTCCAGGATGGTTCAAAAATTGGAGAGAAAGCTTACTCCATGAAGGTTTTAAATCAAGGTTGGATTTTTTTTTCTAAACAGTCTCCTTTAGAAAGTATTTGGGAGAAATCCTCTAGCCTCTTTTATACAGGACATCAGACCGGATGACTGCAATGCTCCCTTCTGGTCTGGGAATCCATGAATTCACTACAGCCCACTCAATGAAGCAGGACTTTTCTGTGAGGGCCTGGGCTGAGCAGGGAGGCCACTGAAGATATTGTAAGAAACCGATGAGGTTTGGATTCAGTCTGGGTGACTTCTGCTTGAAAATTCCATCCCCCATCTCTGGAGTTCAGACCAGGCCATTTTCTTTTCGTTTTCCACATTGACTGGGCTTTTCGGTTTGTTTGTTTTTTCCCCTGCCCTTTATACAAAGGAAAGATTTTGATATGGAGATTAGGGAACAGATTTCTCCTAGCTAAACAGTTGCAGATGATCCTTCCACCCAATTACTGGCCTCGCGCTTTAATGCAGAACCAGCGATACCATTAATCTGCCTTTCCCCATTTTCTTAGCTGCATACCTAGCATTGAAATAGCAAAAGGGGGCCATTTGCCCCTCAACAATGTCAGCTATTCTAAGGTTTATGAATATAAATTAAAGTGGAAATGAAATGGAAGCATTTCAAATGGATACAAATCACTGCTCTCCTGATATATTCACGAGGCACGTTTTATAGCGTCGGTCCTGTAAACAACTCAATGGGAATATGATAATGGCCCACTGTAAAGCTTGCAACTCTGTAAATATCGGTCCTGTAAACAACTCAATGGGAATGTGATAATGGCCCACCGTGAAGCTTGCAACTCTGTAATGGAATGCTGGGGACAGCTGATGGATAGTGGGCTGGATGGGGATGGGTGTTACCTATAAGATACTGTGGCTGTTCTTCCCCATTCAAGCTCAGCTGCGAAAGTTTTCCAATCTCAGGGCTGCCATGGCGATTTGTCCCCAGAAGGGTGTAAACAATGGATGCAATCTTGAAGCTACTAAAATCAACAGCCCGTTGACTTCAATTGGGTCAGGATTTCCACCCAGATGTTTATATTTTACCATCTAGACACAAATGTGCAGGGCGCTAAAATGTACCCCGTCCTGCAGCCCTTTGTGGGCATCGAGGGAAGAAAGGAGCATTGACTGGACGTGGTGGTTGGTCCTTGGGAGACCACATTGGCCAGGGGCAAGTTAGAGCAGCCCGCAGTGTGTTCTCATCTGTTCAGTTCACAAAGCAATAAAACCCTGAAGCAGAGCAGCTTTGTCGTCCTCTGGCTGTCTCAGAGCAAGGACGACAATGCTAGTATAACCCACACACCAGCTGGGGGTGGCGCACTGTCCCATCCAGTGGCATCAAGAGCACTTACAGAGAGAATAACGAGTCTGCTCCACAGCCTTAGCTAATAGCCAGCTGGCTTTCAGCTCATGCACTAAGCTCCACAGGTCCCAGGTTTGATTCTACCAGTCCGCTCTGAAAGAGACATCTCCCTATTAGCGGTGTTTCTTCTAAACTGTGGGGCAGCACAGCTTCCTAAGTGATTAATCAGCCCTGCCCAGCCAGTCAGCACCCTCCACAGAGCCCTGAGCCTCTGACTAGGTGGGGCAGATTCATGAATGCCCTGTGTAGCTTAGAGGAAACATGGCCTAATTGATACATGGATTATTTTATTTATAAAAGTTTTGTTTAGTCTACAGAAGAGCAGAGTGAGGGGGGACTCGATAGCAGCCTTCAACTTCCTGAAGAGGGGAGTGGGGTCCAAAGAGGACGGAGAGAGGCTGTTCTCAGTAGTGGCAGATGGGAGAACACCGAAATCATGTTTGTTTGTTTGTTTTAGCTTAAAACTGAACACTTTTTGATTTTACCATAGAAGAGCCACCAAAAATTCTCCATAACAGATTTTTTGTCATGAAATTCTGTTTTCTAGTACAGGTTGAATCTCTCTACTCCGGCATCCTTGGGACCTGACCGGTGCCAAACCAGAGAATTTGCCAGATCTTGGGAGGTCAATCGTGTCTGGCAGCATTACCAATACTTCCTCTGCTTTTAGAAGACATTGAGGGATAAATTAGAGCTAAATGACAGCACAGAACACTGAGAGCCAGGACTGGTGGCTGTAAACAAACATTACGGGACCTAAGAAATGTGGCCACCCCCATGATAAGTGGACATCTGGCTAATTAAAAGCATGCTGGACCATGGGTGTTGCTGGGCCAGAGCATGCCAGATTAGAGAGGTTCAACCTTTAGCAAAATGTTTCAATGGACATATTTTGACCATCTCAGGTAACAATGCATGTAAATTAGACTACTCGACACAGTCAGTGAAGCCGGGATTTAAATATCCCCAGCTTCATTAAAATAAAAAGGGCCGCCGCGCTGTGCCGGCTCAGCTGATCATCGGCACAGTGCGCGAGTCAAGACGCGGATTGGTCGACAAGGGAAGCCTTTGTCAACCTCTCTGTTATGCCTCGTGAAATGAGGTTTACAGGAGCAGTCGACAAAGGCTTCCCTTGTTGACCGATCCGCGTCTTGACTCGCACGCTGTGCCGACGATCAGCTGAGCTGGCGCAGCGTGGTGGCCATTTTTATTTTAATGAAGCCGGGGATATTTAAATCTCCGCTTCATTGACTATGTTGGGTAGCATATTGTACATGACTCTGTCAACAGAGGCATGTAATCTAGACATACCCATACTGTTTTAGGCATAGGCATGAGAGCTATCAGGTATGATCTTTTAATATCTTAACCCTACTTACCTGCTTATTCATCCAATCCTTCAGTCCCTGAAAGCTTGTGCCAACACAGCTCTTCAGCTACCTTGCCAGCAACCTTATTCCCGTCTGTTTATCATTCTTTGTGTGCAGCTGTTCCGCTCGAGTTCCCTAATAAATTACTACTAGATTCCTAATTTTTAGATTGTCTGTTCTTTTTCTGAACTCCCACTCAATAATGTCGCTACAAATCTTTATACCTTGTCACATTTAACCAGATAAAAGAATCAGCCAGGTAGACAAGAAATTCCCATTGTGCAGAAGCAGGAGGAATATGAAATCTATGCAAAGAGACGCTGCCATCTCGGATTGATTATAATGAACCATTTCATTGCATTATATTTTTAATGAAAAATATGTGGCTGCTTAAAAAATCCTCAGGTTAGAGAAAACATATTAGAAGGCGGCATGATACCATAGTTACAGCACTGAACTGGGAGTCCAGAGAGATGGGTTCTGGTACCAGATCTCACAGTACCACCAGCTGTGTGATTCTGGGCAAATTATTTCAATGCCCTAATGCTGTGTCCTCTCCCCACCTGTTCTCTGCCTTTTTTTGTTGAGATTGTAAACTCTTTGGGGCTGGAATGGTCTGAGTTATGTATTTGTACAGCACCTCGTAGAATGGGTCCTGACCTGAGTTCGGGTCTTGGTAACACTGTAAGGCACATAATTCATATTCTGATGTTTATGTTACAAAAAATCAGTGACAAAAGTTTGACTTAAAAAAAATTAAAAGCATCCCTCTGCCCTTTGGAAACCCAATCACGATGCCATTGCATTAGAACAGGAGAGCGAAACAGAGCAGAAACAGACCATGAAGCTGGCCAACCTCAGTGTTGTCTGAGCCGAGTGAAATGCACAAAGAAAAACGAACAGAGCACAGAATGCCAAGAAAACCGAATCTCTGAAACTCTCTTTTTACCAAGGACTATTCATGCTCATACTCAGACACCATCTACACAAGCTGCCCTGTCCTTGTGACATGGAGAAGGTGTTTGATAATTTCTCTTGTCTCTTTTTCCCATGCACCTTTAAAGTCTGCCGGGAGATGTTTAACAAGGAAATTGTGTTTTATTAAAGGCATCCACAAAAAGGCGGCATCCAAATTAGAGCCTGCTGGGGTTTGCAAAGAAGCCTGATGGATTTAGGCCTCAAATACCGTTGGATGCTTAATGGCTTTACCCATTCTTTGAAAACTGTCTTGTCCATCATTCTACTCGCCTTCTGAGAAAGGCTTTGAGTCATGCCACCCCCGCATTCTACTCGCCTTCTGAGAAAGGCTTCGAATCATGCCACCCGCAATGGCCCTTCTCCTAATGAGGCCTCTAAATGAAGAGAAGGGATAGCCCCCGCTCGGCTGGTCCCATGTGCCCAGGGACCTACCTCTTCCATGAGGATGATGAAGGTGATATTGTGCCCCTGCTGGGCTGCCAGCTTGCCATCGGCGGTGAGGATGTGCAGCCCGCGGGGGGCTTTCCCGGGGCACGGTTCCACTTTGGCGGCGTATTTCTCCCGCAGCCCGTCCGTGCAATTGTTGGACACAATCCTCCGGTACCTGGGGGACATGAACCATTCGGGTTAGGTGAGTCGGTTTTATTTTTTCATGTCTGCCTTGCAAAGCGCCGCCCCAGGCTGACAGCCCACACGCTGCGGCGGTGGCGCCCCGCAAAGCTTTATTAAACAGCAGAAGCCAAACACATCATGATCCAGGCTTCTCCGGGGACCACCAGTGAGGGGGGTCGGCCGCGGGCGGGGGGCTTTCCCGGGGCACGTTTCCACTTTGGCGGCGTATTTCTCCCGCAGCCCGTCCGTGCAATTGTTGGACACAATCCTCCGGTACCTGGGGGACATGAACCATTCGGGTTAGGTGAGTCGGTTTTATTTTTTCATGTCTGCCTTGCAAAGCGCCGCCCCAGGCTGACAGCCCACACGCTGCGGCGGTGGCGCCCCGCAAAGCTTTATTAAACAGCAGAAGCCAAACACATCATGATCCAGGCTTCTCCGGGGACCACCAGTGAGAACAGACTGATACAGGTGAGACAAACCTTTATATCACACTGAAAGCTGGGGAAGGCCTATTCAGCATCCTGGCCTGTCTCCCTTTCTCCTGCACAACCGCATTCCCCTCTGCTTTTGTTACGCTCTGTTTGCACCTATTCTGCACCTGAATGATTTGATGGGAGCTTTGTCCAGCTCAGATTTAAGGGGCAGGTTTCTCCGGGCTCCGTTCAGAAGCACAGAGATTAACAGCCCGAGCGGACCCTTGAATGGGTTGCCTTGATCTGGGAGATTAACTCTCCTACTCCTTGCCTTGTGGAACCGGGGAAGGTGAGCTGGACTGCAGTGGCTCTTGCCTTCTCCCCAGCAGCCTGTCTCTAGGGCAGCTATGCTCTCAGGGGCTCTCCCAGCTGCCGTGAGCCCATGGGAATGAAAAACTTGCCCCATTGAGTGGTTTCCTGAGAATCACGTGCATGGTCTTATAATAGCCCAACTTTCATTAGCTGTCCTGCAGTCATAGCCAGCATCTGTGAGCAGCTCCATGGTCACAGATTGGGGAGCAGGGCCTGGCGCTCATCAGCCACCTCCTAGAGACCTCCAAGTAAATGTTTTCTGGAGCACATAAAGAATGTTAAAATGACAGACCAGTGCCTGCAGCCCAACGTTCTAGATCAACCCTACCAAAACAAACTGGTGCCTGCAGCCCATTGATCCAGAGCAGCACTACCAAAACAACCTGGTGTCTGTAGCCCAATCTTCTAGAGCAGCACTACCAAACCAAACCAGTGTCTATAGCCCAGTGTTCTAGAGCAGCATTACCAAACCAGTGTCTGCAGCCCAATGTTTTAGAGCAGCATTACCAAACCAAACCAGTGTCTGTAGCCCAATGTTCTAGAGCAGCATTACCGAACCAAACCAGTGCCAGCAGCCCAATGTTCTAGAGCAGCACTACCAAACCAAACCAGTGTCTGTAGCCCAATCTTCTAGAGCAGCACTACCAAACCAAACCAGTGTCTGTAGCCCAATCTTCTAGAGCAGCACTACCAAACCAAACCAGTGTCTGTAGCCCAATCTTCTAGAGCAGCACTACCAAACCAAACCAGTGTCTGTAGCCCAATCTTCTAGAGCAGCACTACCAAACCAAACCAGTGTCTGTAGCCCAATCTTCTAGAGCAGCACTACCAAACCAAACCAGTGTCTGTAGCCCAATCTTCTAGAGCAGCACTACCAAACCAAACCAGTGTCTGTAGCCCAATCTTCTAGAGCAGCACTACCAAACCAAACCAGTGTCTGTAGCCCAATCTTCTAGAGCAGCACTACCAAACCAAACCAGTGTCTGTAGCCCAATCTTCTAGAGCAGCACTACCAAACCAAACCAGTGTCTGTAGCCCAATCTTCTAGAGCAGCACTACCAAACCAAACCAGTGTCTGTAGCCCAATCTTCTAGAGCAGCACTACCAAACCAAACCAGTGTCTGTAGCCCAATCTTCTAGAGCAGCACTACCAAACCAAACCAGTGTCTGTAGCCCAATCTTCTAGAGCAGCACTACCAAACCAAACCAGTGTCTGTAGCCCAATCTTCTAGAGCAGCACTACCAAACCAAACCAGTGTCTGTAGCCCGATGTTTTAGAGCAGCATTACCAAACCAGTGTATGTAGCCCAATGTTCTAGAGCAGCCCTACCAAACCACACCCGTGTCTATAGCCCAGCGTTCCAGAACCACCCTATCAAAACAAGCAGCCACCTGCTGCTCAGCATTCTGGAGCCACCCTACCCAAACAAACCAGCAGGCCGAGCCTGGTACTCTTGAGCAACCCGTCATCTCCCCTCAAAGTACATTCAGCCTCAGAACATGAAGATGTTTCAGTGACAAACCCGCATGTGTAGACCCATTACTATGGGGACCCTACAATAACAAATTACGCTTGACTCAAAGGGAAAGGGAGGGGCAGAACTGCATGAGGATGTCCAGCATAAATCCAAGCTCCCTAACAAGCTGTTAGAAATAAGAACAAGTAAAGGAAAAAAGAAATTATATGAACAATCCCAGAAAATTCCCTAAGCATGTCCTTTTCTATGTTCAGTACCTGGACATCTTGATTTGTTCTTTAATTTTGCAGTAGTGGTGGCATGAAAATGCTGGTTCCAGGGATCATATATCACTTGATAGCAATGCAATATCTACATGTCACTTATGTTAATGGACTTCTCACAGGGTCTGAAGAACAAGGCACAGTTCCATATAGACAAGGCTGCAAAAAAGAAAACCCTCACAAATAACACTGGAGAACCGCCAGGCAGGGGAGAGATAATACTAATGGTCCAGACTTACCGGAAACACCACAACGTCACCAAAAGCCAAGAGCCAACTAGACTTACTTACCCAGTGCTATTCAGGTAGGTCTGGCCGAGGCTGCAGTCCTTTGACAGGAAGGACTGGTTGAACCAGAAAGCTGGGATACACTGGTTGCTACTGTGTCTTTCATAGCCATAGTCACTATGGAAACAAACAGGTAATGAAGAGCATCCGATCACAGTAATTAAGCACTGGGAAGAAGACTGCGGAATCCCCATCACTGGTGTTATTTTAAGAACAGGTCAGGCAAATGCTTGGTGCAGGTATGCTTAATGATGCCTTAAAGCAGCGGGAGAACTGGATGCCTACAGCCCTGCAAATCCGCGGATCTTGGCTTTATATCTGTGGGTATCTGCATCCACAGATGTGGCTGCAGATGTCAACTCATTTTTGTGGATACCCATTTTAGAGCGAGAACCCTGTAAATGCACATCTGTGTTATATCTGCAGGTATCCGCATCTGCGGAGGTGGATGCGGATAGCTACGGATCATTTCTGCGGATGCAAACATGGGTACCAAATATGTATCTGCACGGGGCTTTCTGGAAGACCTCTTGATGGCCTTTCCAATCCTACATTCCTAGGATTCCCAACCATCACTGGGTATCATCTAGAAATGTCTGGAAATTTAAAATGGACTTTTCCCAAGGAAACAAGCTTTATTTTTAATTATAACTTTACCGGAATAGAAAATGTAGGCGTTTGGATGAGTCATGCTACCTATGGGGGGACAGGACAAGGGCTGTTCTTCTACTCATCCTGATTTCTGCTCCATCATTGGTATCCAAACCCTTGAGTCCTTGCTCAGATTTCACTGTGTCCTTTCTCAGTCAAAACTCCCAGGGACGTCGGAATGAGCCTTGACTCAGGATGGCGTAAAAACAGAGCAACTGAGATGGCAGAGTCCTTAAATACATGCTTGATTTTAAACACAGGCTTAAGTCCATCCAATGCAGGAATATGCACTGTGAAGGCCCATGGTCTGCCCAAGTTTGGGAGGGTAATACTACTCCAAGAAGCATTGAATACTGAACCTGGAAGACCTATTCAAAGGGTTTGGCTACCAAATGGGGGAGCATGTAATCCCTCACAACTTTGGGCCTCATGGTGAACATGAAGCATTGCAGAACTTTGGAAGATTTTGGTTCCATGTGTTGGCAAGAGAGAAGACACAGAACATCTGATTCATTTCTAACTTTTTTAAAAAACCACCTAAATCCATTGCAATTTTTTTTTCTTTTTTGCATTTTCTTTCCTTCCATGAAACGCCAAAGCACGTCCCAGGATCTTGTCACATCTCACAAAAGACAAAGTGCAAGGAGACTATCTTGAATGACGGGCAGAAGAACAAAGACTAACGACATGCCTGAACAATGACAGTGCTGCACGTCTGAACATAGTCATGACCGATGCCTGTCCAAAACAGCACTTCAAACCAGAGCTGCCCTTGCAATCTAATGGTTACACAACAGAAGGTATGTTTTCCCTGCAGCTGGGAGCTTGCCATCACAACTCAGACCTACAGGATTGGGTGATCCTGATTAGCTTGAGAGTTACAGCATCTGCTCTGCTATTTTTAGCATGTGAGCTTGATCCCCGTTACAGCAAGAACATCTCCAGAGCTCACTGATCCTCCCTGAACCTTCAGGGGATGGAAACACACTCAGATGGCCTCACACATCTGACGTCACGATGCTGACCAGAAGCACAAAGAAGTCTTTCCATTAGCTTTGCTGGGCTTTGGATCAGATTCTCTCTGCCTCCCGCTTTGGCTAGCTGGAGCTGGCTTGGTAATTTTTAGATAAAGGGGAGGGATAAAAAAAACTGAATCCCAAAGTTTGTCTCACGACAAGCCAACAAAGCCCAACCCTTTGGGAAGCACAGACATCAAGAGAGCACCACATGTTTTATCCATGAGTACGCTAGCCTCTGAGCCGCTGACAGAAAGTTTCAGAGAAGGGTTTCAGCAAGATGAATTCTTTGTGCAGTCACTGTTGCCAGTAGTCTTTGGAGGGCAGAGATTTCCAAGCTGCATAAAAAGGTTCAGAAATTCCCTAATGCTCTTTGTCGCAACGTTCCATTTAATCATTCTCAGAGGGTTAGCCCCGCACTGTAAAGAACAGGCTGGCAGTAATTCTGTAATTAAAAATGTGCAGGAGGAGCCGTAGTTTGCCCAAAAGAAGAAAAGAGCTGCATAAATATTTAATAAAATTAAAGACAACATTGCTGTATGCCCCGAAGGTTGTGGGCTCGTTCATTAACTTCTGGTAATTGTATATTAAAATCTCACATGCTGCCCACCTTCCCTCTTGCAAGCCTCGGGGTTTGCATAAATTAGGAAAATAAGCAAGTCCAGCTGCTTCTCTCTCTGTCTTTTCTTGACAGAGTAAATAAAGAACAAGGGGCGGGAGAGGGAAGTGGTGAATACCAGCAAGCATTTTAATAACACTTCTCAGTTCCCTTGTTTCCGCGCAGACAGGAGATTGATTTTTTAAAATGATTGCGTCTCTGTGTGTGTAGCAATGGTGATAGCCTCCCTGTATTTATCCCCACACTTCACATAGGCTTACTGAATCCATGCACTTTGACCCATAATTGTGGTCTTGCCCTGAATAATGACCAACACACAATGACAAAGCGTAGCTCCATATGTCTCCCCATCCGATCTCTTCGAGATTACATGGAAAATTTCCCAGATTTCTAAAACTGACTGGTGATTTGCGGTGCCCGACTTGGGATATCTGAAATGACTGTGCTTTCCAGAAAGGGCGCTCAGTGCCGACAAAGAAACACTAGGCCCCTTTAAAATGTCTTTGATGGCGCATCGAAAACGGAGAGGCCCCAAATCACTAGTCAGTCCTGAAAATCTTTGCTGCTTCCCCCACCCCACCCTCCCCATAACTGTCAGCTCTGCAAACTCATTCTAGGATCAGTATGTCAAGCTGATCCCTTCTGGCTGGTGCATCGCTAATAGGGATGATTCAACAATACAAACCCAGTTAATGATTCTGGGGAGGGCGCATGGGGCTGCGGGGTGAACAGGAGAGTATGGGAGCAACATCTTATTTTTGCATCCAAGGTAGGTGGAAATGACACTGAGCAGACCCAGGGAGTAGGTCTGTTGAGTCAGAAGGTGTCATTTTTACAGGCAGTTTCCACAGCCGCACTGCACTTTACGGCCAATTAAGCTCGAGTAGCTTTGCACGCAAGTCCTAAAATAAACATCAGGCTGAACTCTGGAAGGAGAAAGCAGGGAAGCTAGAAAGCAGAAGCCAGTGGGACAAACACAAAAGCATCTTGGGAATGCAGTGATAGGCTGAGCGCAGTGGAGGAGGCAAATGAGGTGGTGTGGGCAAAGGGGGCAGGGAACTTCGGTGCTCATTGTAAACCATTAGCTTTTCGCATTCAGGGCGAGACCAGCATCCAGTGTGCCGCAGCGCCTGCATTAATCCAGAAATTTTAGATTTGATTGCTGGGCTAGGAATAAGGAAACAATTGGTTCAGAGAAAAAGTAAAAAATCTATCAAATGTCCAACCACCATGGATTCTCTGGAAAAGGCAGCTTTCTTCACATTACTCCTCATTTTTGTTGCACCTAGGCACATGTAGGTCCCAGCCAGGACGTCCTGAATAAAACTGTGGATCAGAGCATCAGCTGATATATACTGATGGCATAACTACAGGCATAACTCCTTGACTATCATGCAAAAGGCCTGAATGAAATCCAGCCTAAGACGTCATCAGTGAATTTAGCTTGCTTTTCACCAGGGCTGTGTCCAGACTCAGGGGTTTTTTCGGGAAAAGTAGCCTTTTTCCGAAAAAACTGCCCCTGCGTCCAGACTCAAGCCGCGTTCTTTCGAAATTAAATCGAAAGAACGCGGCTTTTCTTTCGATGGCGGTAAACCTCATTTCACGAGGAAGAACGCCTTCTTTCGAAAGTTTCTCTTTCGAAAGAAGGCATTCTTCAATGTAAATAGGGCTTCTTCGAAAGAGAGCATCCAGACTCACTGGATGCTTTCTTTCGAAAAAGCAAGCCACTTTTTCGAAAGTTCAACGTGCAGTCTAGACACTCTCTTCCGAAAGAGGCTTGCAGTCTAGACATAGCCCAGGTGACGATTTGGTCCTGCCTACTCAATTGGAGGCGAGACAACCTCTTCTTGCTGCATTCCTGGCACCGTTTAGCATCCAAGAAGTGCAAGACATCATTCAGATAAACATTTGAACTGCTGGCTGTTTGTACATAACCCCGCAAGAAACCTCTTGTGACCCCCCGCACTTTTTGAGAATCATCAGTTGCTAGTCACCCAAGCACTCCTGCAGAAAACCCAGATAGGGACACTTCCCCAAAGTGTAGGCGCATCAACAGGGTGTTTTTCAACCCTCAGAGTAGTTTGGATTTTAGGATGCCATTCGTTCGAAACATCAGTATGTATGCAAAGCAGCCTGTGACTTCTGACAGGCCCCCGCTGCTCGGGGCTGTGAAAGAAGCTGATCGGAAGTCTTGCTGGAAAGCAGCAACCATTTCTCAGGAGACAATTGAAAACCGTCCCCCTGTTTTGCACGCTAAGGCCTCAGGTGGCGACAAAGCACACGTGAAGCTGGAATTCCTTTTCTGCGGGGCATCCTCTGGGGGCGGGGGGTCGACTCTCCCTTCAAGGGGCAACGCTTGCAGTCCTGTGTTAGACTGATCTGCACAAAAACGGGCCCTTCTCATTTTACAGCCCGGCCTTGGGGTTCCATAGACATCTAAGCCCCCCAGTGCAGCACAGTATCGACAAGAGTACCCCCAGCTATAATGGGCAGGGCTACTTACCACTCAAAGTCCCATTCGGCACAGACACAGGGCTCTGAGACGACGGTTCTGGAGTAGTCTCTGCCCAGGGCACACTGGATCCCCGGCTTGCGTTTCTTATAGATCTTCCTCTCTCCCATGACACATGGCTCTCCCTTTGGCAGCAGAAGCATCGGGGATTAGAAAGAGAAGAACATGGCGGATCTCTATTATTCCTGTGACAGGGTCAGGTCGGAGGGATACACAAAAGTCATGGGAGGGACTAAGAGGACAGCTGTTCCCAGGGTAACTGGGCGGGGCTAGTCTAGAACCAGCAGAGCCAATCAGAGCAGTTGAGCACCTGGGGCTAATTGAGCAGGCTTGCAGAGTCCCCGGAGCCTGGGCCAATTAGAACACCTGGGGCTAGTCAAAGAACCCGTTGAGACTGGCTTTAAAAGGAGCTTGCCTGCCATTGGTGGGGTTTGCGAATAGCTGAGAGGACAGAGGAAAACCCTCCAGGAGTAGGAGAAAACAAGCAGCAAGTGGACACTCGGAGGGTGAGCCTGGGAGAGAGAAGGTGCTGGGGAACGTATGGGGAAGTAGTCCAGGGGTCGGGTAGCTGTCTCATAGTTGGAGACTCTCATAGGCAGCTCCTATCACAGGCACCAGGAGTAGAAGGTGGGTCTGGGTTTCCCTCCTTCCCCAACACCCACTCCCCAGTCCTACGCAGGGAAAAGACTGCGGAATTGATTCTCCCTCTATAGCGTACACCGCCGAGTGAGGAGAGGAGCTCAACAAACAGCAAGCGAATGCGCTAGGTGAGGTGCCTAAAATTGAGGGCTGCTGTGAGCCTCTGAGGCAAAAAAACTCCACCTGAAAGTGTAGGACCTACCACGTTCGAGTAGGAGCGTTCTCACATTACCTAGTTATTGCCTAGACACTATTACTATATACAGCAGGATGTCAATTCATTTTGGAGGAAGAGCTGCAAAGGAACAAAGTGCTCTTTGGAAGTCAGGAGGAATTGGTATTTACTTCCCATTTACACTTTGAAATCCCCCTCTCTGTTCAAACTTCAGATCAACTCTCCCAGGATCCCAACTCCCCCTGAAACCTCATTCAGCTTTTCCCCCGCCTTCCCCCTTAAAGCTGCCCCGGTATAGAAACAGAAGGACAATTGCTGCTTTGCCAATGGCAAAAGTTTGATTGAGTGCAACATTTAAGGTGGAAAAGAGTCAGCAACAAAGCTCGGAGGAGAACCCATGTGTCCTGGCTTTTCCTCCTCTCCCCACTCCTGCTCACCACCTTGTAGCACTCCGTCATGTGTTTCAAGCTCCAGGATGGGAGATACTGCTGATGTTTTCTAACGGGCCTAATCCAAAAGGAAAGTTTGACCAGCAAATGAATGACCATCCTTTGGATTTTGTCTTAGGTTCAAATAACTTGTTTGTCCCCCCCCCAAAAAAAAAAACCCCTCTCCAAACAAACCAAATGCGCAATTACATTCTGTATCTTTCTCATGATTACTGGTTGCCACGGCGATCTCCAAGGATGGAGAACAAGGGAGTTCTACGCATTACTTTTTATAAATAGCTTGCTTTCCCCGTTTGATATTATCCTGCCTGGCTGCACAACGTTAAATGAAAGGGAACTGAAGCTAGAAATGAGGCTCTGGCAGAAAGACACAGCAATTGCAGCAAGCCAGCCATCGCTCCCAAGCTAGAGACGGAGATTTCTCGGCTGAATAGAACTTACAAGAATTTGCAGAGGGAGACTGCAGCATAGGTCAGACCCCAGCATATAGATGTCCTTTTCCTTCTCCCGTTGCACTGCATGCTCTGTTTCTTTGGAGGGAATACATAATGCTCTGTTCTAAAGAAGCTGGGTTTGAGCCACTTTGATCAGCTGCTGTCACAGGAAACCAGAGGAAAGGGGCTTCCAGGTACCAGATGACTGGTAAGAAAGCAAGGAGAGGAGGAGCAGCCCAGAGATGCTCTCTAGAGAGATAAGATGAAGTTGGAGAAACCTGCGGTGCACTTGAGAAGCACTAAACGTGGTCCATCAAATCATTTGCTCTGATTCGCAGCTTTCCCCGGCTTCATTTTAGCTTCGTTTTATTTATTCTGCGCCGTGGCTCCTTCCAGCTGGTATATTCCTGGTTCCAAGATGCCAATTTCTAATGCATCTGCTTCATGATTTTATTCAGGGACATCCCCGTATTTGTAATGTCACCATGAAAAGGACTGTGACATCACGGTGTGGTAGATTTCCCAGGGCCCCTGCCTCACAAACAATCCCCAGAGGTACAGGACTACATTAACTGCCCACTGGCTTCCCCAGGTCCTAAATGAATCTACTGTGATAATAACCCAGGTGATTACAGAAGAAAAAGTTTCTATACACATTAAATAATAATTTGATCTTCTCTGCCTCTTCCGCCAATGGGCTCCCCAGCTCCTGTGAGATTGATAGACACTTTTATATCCACCTTTCATGGATGGAGAAACTGAGGCACACAGCAGGGAAATGACTTGCTTGAGTCAGTGACAGAGCCAGAAATAGAAGCCAGGTCTCCTATGATTTCACACCAAGACCATACTACTTAAATCAGCAATGAGGGACAGCACATGCTAGTGGACTGGGACTTTTAAACACTCACATATTTAGAAGTACGCTGGCATGGACTGGAGTTCTTTACACTTTTTCCTGGGTTCAAGACTATCAGCTGACAGAATTTTCCTGTTGACATCTCCCTAGTGACCAGTCACTAGCTGGACCAGAATCCTATTTACACTTGCACCCTTTTTTACTTTTCTGGCTGTGGGGGTCCTTTACATTACAGGCTCCTCTCATGCGGCCAGAATGTGGAAAGAGACCTTAGGGAAAACGAGACTCATTCCGGAATGGCATCAGGAGGAACTATTTGAAATACACGACATCTATAGGTCAGAACTGCCTCCCTGGTTTGATGGATGCTAGCTCCTTCCCTCTCTGGAGAACAGAATGTGACAGGCTCCTCCCTGCAAACACTCCGGATTTGAACAGTGTCCTCTAACAGGCTGCCTGGGGAGTACCTGATTGTGCAAGTGCCAGGTCTGGTAGTCCTCCTTGTTGCACCTCCGGCTGAAGATGGATTTGTAGTCCACTTTGACCAGCTGCCATTCGGAGCGGAGACTGAAGTGGCCAAAGATCCTGAGCATTGGGAAAGAGAGAAAGGCATGCACGGTCAGCCATGGACATATGGAGCCTTGGTACACAAGGATCTACGGTGAACCTGACAGGGGAAGGAAAGAGAGAAAGGCATGCACGGTCAGACATGGACCAACACAGTATCCTGGGACTGACTGCAGGAGAAAAACCAGAGCCTTAGCCTTCCTGTGTCTGTTTCCAACCATCTATGTGTACATGGGATCCCGTTCTCTGTCTCTTTCTGTATTCTGTCTGAGTAGAGTGCAGTGGATACACAATGCATATTCTCCCCCTGTACGTCTGTGCAGCATCTGGCATAATGGGGCCCTGATGTGAGCTGTGGCTTTTGGACACTCCCGGCATACAAATAATGACAGTCATAAGAAGCCAATGGAATTATGCAGGCTGATCAATTACGCATTTACAGGATCAGGTCCTTTCTGTGTCACCACGTTCTTACTGGTGTCGTATGTTCTGACTACAAAAAGGGGAGAAACACCAATGCTAAGAAAAATCACTATGCAGTGAAAAATGAAATGAAAACAGTGACTGATGGGAGGGGATGCTTAGACCACGAGGACACTTGTGGGTCAGACTAATGGCCCAGTGACCTGTCTTTCAACAACGGTCAATGCCAGACGCTTCGAGGGACTGCAAAGCCATCTCCTCAGTTGTCCAAGCTCTCTGGAGAAAGCTCACGTCGTATGATGAGTGGCATCCACAGCAGGGCAAGGCCTTCCTTCTTTTGGCAAGTCTTTTGATCAGGCTAATTATCAGTGATTCAGGGCATGTCTACACTAGGAAACTATTTCGAAATGAGCACATTTGACTTAATCACGCCTGATTTCACAAATTCTAAGCAGTGTTTCCACACTACAGGGAAGCCCCAAAATTAGTCCAAAGCAGGCTCCGTTAATGTGAACGCGCTATCTTGGACTTAGAGCTCCAGGAAACACTGAGGAGTAATGAGTTTGAATTACTCTGGGGTATTGTCATTTCGAAATAGCAGCACTGGAGCATCCATACTACTGCTATTTTGAAATGACTATTTTGAAATGAGCGTTATTCCTCAAGGAAAGCAGGAGAACAGATTTCGAAGTAAGCAGCCTGTTATTTCGAAATAACGGGCATGGTAGTGTGAACGTGCCACTTATTAATTCGACCTAAGGGGAGTTATTTTGAAATGGAGGCCTAGTGTAGACCAAAGCTCAGTGACCTACCTCTGTGGCCCCTCCAACCAAGTAAGGAGATTCCTGTTTCACAATGCCCTATCCCAGTGAGTGGACTTTTTGCTGGAGGCCCCAACTGAAATCGGGGCTTGATGGTGCCCAGTGCTGTACAGGCCCTGGCACACACAAAGGGAGCTGAAGAGTTTGCATGCTAGAGAAATAGGACACCCCAAGACTGGGGTGCACACGACTGGGAACTGAGGCACAGAGATGTGAGAGCTGGGATGATCAAGAAGGCCAATGAATGTGAAAGTCCAGCCTAAGTGTTTTGCCCAAGGCTATACCAGATGTCTGGCTGGAATTTGGAGCCAGATTTCTTGCAGCCCACTGCAACATCTTAACCACATGGCCATCCTTCCTCACACCCATAAAGTCATGCACTTGACTAAGCATTGACAAGATCAGGGGCAACAGGAGATCAAGCAGCTTGCTGTGAAATATTACGTGCTACTCTCCAGTGAGAAAAACGCCACGAGAGTTTACTTAGCAGATGCTGGCGTCTTTACAAAGAAACACCTCACAACAAAACCGCATTTAATTAATAAATAACATCAGGTATCCACACAAAAGTCTCCAGTCATCTGGAATCATTCGGCTAGCTGCGGGGAACACTCTTTTCAATCAAGCAACTACCTCTTATTCCTCACACCAACGGTTATTTTCTCTGTAAGAAGCAGGTTTTCAATCGGCTGGTGCGGTATTTCCAAAGAGGTGCCGGTGCAAGGAAACGAGGGCACAGACATCAGTTGACAACGTTAAAAGCTGTAAACAAACTTACAGTGTTGCAGAGGAGAGGCAAAATAAAGTAACAGAAATGTGATGGAACAAATCAACAGGCATCTAGAAGACGCCAATACAATCATTTTATTCTCCCCAAATCTGACTCTCGGATGAAGAAAAAGATGTTTACAAACATCAGTTCAAGAATTCGTTTGCTAATTTACATTTGAGAGAGTGTGTGCATCCGTTTGTCTGTCTGTGAGTCTGTCTACCTAGCCCTTTGCCTGTGAGTATGTTTATTCAAAAGCTCCTCCTAAACGGTAAGAGCTAGGACCACCAAATTTGGTGGGCAGCTGCCTCCTTTCATAACATAAACTGAGATAAGGCTTTGGTTGTGCCAGGGCAATGGGATGCGCATGGAATGCAAATGTTTCTCATCAAACAGTTTATGGAGTTTTGCTGGGAAGCTCACTCACCCGTCGGGCTGATAAAATCAAGCCAGGAGGCATGCACAGCTCATACTGCTAGTTAAGGGCTGCCCGCCTGCTGCCATTGTGTCTGAGCTCAGGGTTAGGATTGTCAGGATAGTTATTAGAATCTGCACCTCATCCCCGTGTCCTTTGATGGTGTGGGGAAATGTGAGGAACAGAAGCAGTCTGATTCGTGTATGAAGAGGACGTCTGCCAACCCCCATAGCCAGCCCCAGAGCAGTTGCTAAGGAGTCTGGATTCACCTCAGAACCTGAGGCGTGTTTGTGGAGTTGGAAAAGCACCATCTTTTCGTTAGACGGGGAAATTGTTGGCGAGCCCCCTGTTCCCTGAACTGTGTCCTCAAGATGCTACAGCCTCAACAGGGAAAGAAACATTTGCTGGAACCCAAGAGACGACACAGTCAAAGAGACCAAGGAATAGTGACTGGCCGGCACAAATTGAGACACCAGGGTCTCTCTTTGCTCTGACATTAGGGGTACGCCTAAGCTACAACTCACTTTCGAAAGAGATTGTCTAGACAGCAACAATACTTTCGAAAAAGCGATCTACTTTTTTGAGAGAGAGCACCTAAGCAATCTGGATACTCTCTTTAGAAAAAAGCACTGTTTACATTCAAGAATGCCTTTTTCCGAAAGAGCTCTTTTGAAAAAAAGGCGTTCTTCCTCATAAAATGAGGTTTACCGCTGTTGAAAAAAACCCGCTGCATTATTTCAATTTAATTTCAAAAGACTGTGGCTTCAGTCTAGACACAGGTGAAGTTTTTTTCAAAAAAGGCCACTTTTTTTTCGAAAAACTCAGTAGTCCAGACATAGCCTTGAGGACTCCACAGCAAGGAAAGCAGAAGTCTGCACTGACCTTTCATCAGCAACAAAACTTACCAGAGCCACTTGCTTTTTGAACAAAAAGAAAAACATGGAAATGCTGGCATGATCATGATAATGAATGGGGAAGAAAAAAAACCCCAAGGTTTCATAAGTGGAAGGGAATACATTAGCATTCCAAAAGCACAAAGCGTTAGCTACTCTTTAATTAAATGATTTCAAAGAAGATCTTTGTATATAATTGGTATAATTTAGATGGAAACAATACTACACTAAATGTAATTAGAGCAATATGAACGGTAAGGGATGTTTCCCTCTGTGCCACTGAGCTGGGGCTGGGTCACCTGATTCTTATAAGAAGTGGTATTTTTTGTAATATGCTGATAAACTACCGTGGTCCAGCCTCAGCGTGCAGAGGATGGACTAGTTGACCTCTCAAAGTCCCTTCCAGATCTACTTTGCTGTAATTCATTGGAAGACAGTGGGTATGAACTCCTTTAAAAGTAATCCAGTGTAATTAAGGGAAAGGAATTATAGGAGGCTATCAAAAGAATATGGTCCCACGGGAAGTGGGGAAAGTTCCATTTTTATGGGCCACGTGAAACTAGGCTCCAGGAAACACTGTAGGGAACAGTGTGGTGGGTGACCGTCCCTATTAGATACTCTAGATCATGAGCTAGTGTAGTAGGTTCATAAAATAGCTCAACCTGGGATCACAAAAGCTAAGCATTTATTTTAAATTGTGATTGTGACTAGGAAAACCTCTTTGGCACCGGGACAAGTTTTAAAGGTCTCTAATAGGGGAGGGGTCAGCAGATACTAATTGTGATTGTGACTAGGAAAACCTCTATGGCACCGGGACAAGTTTTAAAGGTGCTCTAATAGGGGAGGAGTCAGCAGATACCGTGTCTGTCCTGTGGCTCATCTCCATGGGCTTACGAAAGGAAGGTGGTAAGAGATACCTGGGAGGTTATCATTAGGGAAGGGGCATGCCTGCTCCTCAGCCAGTGGTCTGAGCCCGGGAAGGCCCCAGTCTTTAAACGGCTTTGTTCTGGCTTTGAGCGTGTCGTTTTGGAGATAAAACGAGACCTGAGGGAAAGGCTAGGGACAGCCATGTAGCTGGGAGTTAATTGTGGTCTCCAGTTGTGGGGTCTGTACATTGAGGGCCTGTCTGCTCCACCAACTTAAGTCGACCTCTGTTTGGTCAATGTACAGCTACCACATTTACCGCAGTGGCTCGTATCCGCAGGCCCCTGCTTCCATCGGCAGTGTGCCTCCTCACCAGGAGCCCTTCCACCTATGTAAGACGAGGAGCATGGGAGACTGGAAGCCCAGGATATCAGCTCTGCTGGGCAGGAGCCCTGCTGCCCACACAACAGGTGTTTGGCTCCTTATTCTCCACTGGGAGCCAGACTAGCCACCCCAGGTTCTCATTCCCGGCTGCCCCCTGGCTCCTGGCAGGGATCTCCATGCCCTAAGCCTCAGTGACTGACAGGCTCCCAGAGGGAATGAGGTGCTGGGGGCCTGGACAGTAGCCCGGCTCACAGTGGACAGCTTGGGACCTTTTGGGGTGAAAGGGTCCTAGCAGGGTGTTGGGGACCCAGGTGGAGGTCCAAATTGGAGCAGGGAGAGGGCAGCCCGAGGCCTGCCTGGCCAGGTTTCCCCTCCCCTGCTATGGGCCCGGCCCTGCTGCCTGACAGCAGACAGCCCCGATCACACTCCACCCAAGCTGCTGCAGCCAT